CACCAGCTTCGAGAGTGCCGCCGTTCGTTGAGCGAGTTCAGCGGGCGAGAGAGTTGATGGACCGCCTTGGGGGAGGAAGCGATGGACCAGCACGTCATCCTGTATCATCGCAGAGTCCAGCAGAGCACACTCCAGCGCATCCTAGCAGCAGTGAGGCGAGCAGCGAGTGACAGGTCGAAGGTCAACCAGCGGGACGAGGTTGACAACCGACCACATCCCGCTCATCCACGTCTGCGACAGCTAGCTAGGTCACGATGAACAGCGCAACTCCAGACAACGCCAACCCGACCATCCACTTGACCGGAGGAGCGTCCGCGTCTCGCCGCACCCGCCTCATCAACCTCGACCTCGCAGACGCCAGCTCGTGGGACAGGCTCGAAGACGAGCTCATGTACGGGTCAGATTGGGACAGTGCAGGGTCTGAGAGCTCGGCAGACGAGGACTAAATCGATTCTGAGGAGATCCTTGGTGCGTCTCGCCTCGTCCTCCTCGCTTGGTGGCTGAGTTCGGCGGGAGCAGGATACGGACAGATAGGCTGCTTCGTCTTGTGGTGGCGAGTTGACAAGCTAGGTCTCTCGTCGCAGACCTCATCCGCTCCATTTCTGATCCCGAACACCCTCTCACCCTCGAACAACTCGCCGTCGTCTCTTCCGAACAAATCACCGTCAATCACGGCAAGCGACCCTCAGTCCTCGTAGAGTTTACGCCGACCATCCCTCACTGCTCGATGGCGACTTTGATCGGTGAGCCGGACCTTGCCCTCGCTTCTGGCGGCAGGAGAACCATGTCGCTGACGCTTGCTGGTCTTGCAGGCCTCTCGCTTCGCGTGCGGTTGCTGCGGAGCCTGCCGGAGAGGTTCAAGGTGGACATCAAGGTGAAGGAGGGAACGCACCAGAGCGAGAATGCAGGTGCGTCCAGGATCTGCACTCGTTCCTCATCCGCAAAAGCCTGACGCTTCTTCTGTCTGGCCCCATCGCACAGTCAACAAGCAGCTGAACGACAAGGAGCGAGTAGCAGGTGCGCAAGAGACCTTGTCATCGCGAGCGCACACGTTCTCTGACGCAGCTCTCCCCCGCAGCCGCGCTCGAGAACAACCATCTGCTCTCGGTCGTCCAGCAATGCCTGTCGACAGCCGACAAGCGCGGCAAGACCGCCTGAGATCTTGCGCGCTGCTAGGTCTCCGTCCTCTTGTCGCCTACCTCTGGGCCCTCCCCCACTTCATCGCGCAACGCGCCCATCGCTCCTCTCGCGCCTCGGTCCTCGCGTAGACACGCCCAAACCTGGCCTCCTTCAGCGCATCGGCGGGCGCGTCGCATCGAGCGAAGAGGAGGAGGACGAGGAGTGGGCGGCAAGGTGGTGGCGGCGTCGCTAGGCCGGCAGCGGCGGCGAGGGAGGGGCGCTGGGGGAGCAAGGGCGAGGGAGGCGAGAAGCTGGGAGGCGAGAGACGCGCAGGGAGCGAGGGAGAGGGGAAAGAAGGGTTGCCCGGATTCCCCCTGTCTTGTGACGGCGCACGCACACGGACGCAAAAACCCAAACGACGCGTTTTTCTCAAAACGACGCGTCAGTGTGTAGAGAACGAAGCGCCTTGCAAGTATCCCGGTATACAACTAGAGGCGGCGAAGGCGAGCGAGAGAGAGAGTGCGCTATGCAGAGGGGAGAAGGAACGAAACACACAGAGACAGCGAAGAGGAAACGTCTAAAGAGGCGAGCAGAGAGGCGTTCTGCGAGTCGCAGGAGGTCAGCGGAGGCGAGGGAGGTGGAGGAAGGGAAGGGACGCACTAGAAGTCACCCTCGTCGTCGGAGGGAAGGCCGAGCTTCTTCCGTGCCATGCGCTCCTTCTTCAGCTTGCGAGCACTGCAGGAGCGGTGCGAGAGGAAGGTCAGCGGAGGGTTCAAAGAAGGAAGGAGGAAGGATGGCGACGCACTCCTTCGAGGTGATCTTCTTCGCCTTCTTGGGCGCGTCCTGCAGCGGCGAAATGAGCACGTCAGCGGCAGCATTCCAAGCGGAAGCGAAGAAAGACGCACAATCTTGTTGCCCATGGCGTCAAAGACGTCCTCCTCCTCCTCGTTCTTCTGGTCGATGCGGGGACCGGATCCCTGGCCCTCGACCCAGTTGTGGCCGGAAGCGGTGAGGTGACCGTCGCGCATGGCCCAGACCTCAGTGCAGATCGACTCGGAGAACTCGCGGTTGTGGGTGATGACGAGGACACCACCTGTGGGAGCGACGGAGCAGCGTCAGCGGCGTGGCTTTGACGGGCGAACGCAGGAGCACGACGAACCCTCGAAGGTCTTGAGTGCGGAGATGAGCGCAGCAAGAGACTCGCGGTCAAGCTGGAGAAGGCCAGCGGGTCAGCGAACGGCCACAGCGAGTAAGAAGAGAACACGCGGCACGCACGTAGTTGGTCGGCTCGTCGAGGATGACGACGTGGGGGCGGCGCCAGGTGGCGGCGGCGAGGACGACCTTGACCTTCTGTCCTCCCGAGAGACCGCGCATCGTGTTGTGGGTGGTGAACTCGGGCTCGAGACCAAAGTCCATGAAGTGGGACTCGATTTCCTTGCGGACGAGGGGGCGGAGCAAACCGGCCTTCTGCGCCTCGCGCGAGTCGACCTCCATGACCTTCTTCTCGAAGCCGCGGCGGATGAGCTCGTCGCGCGGGAGCCAGATGTTCTCGGACGACGAGAGGCCCTTGAAGGTGACCTCGTACTCGAACGACTGCTTGAGCTTCTTGCGCGCGACAATCTCGTCAATCGTGCGCTTGACGCCCTCGACGACGACGGTCGCGCCCTCCTTCATCTTCTTCTCCTCCTCCTCCGACAACTGGCGGTTGGCCTTCTGCATCTCCTCGAGGTCCTCGCCGGTCTGGTAGCGGTGGAGCATGTACTGGAGCGGGGTCTTGTCGAGGTGGTGGTCGATGTGGTGGAAGGCGTGCTGGGCGACGTAGCCGATGACCAAGTTGGGGTGCTTCCAGACCTCACCGCCCTTGTTGGGCTCGGTCTCGGCGACGAGGAGCTTGACGAGCGTCGACTTGCCGGAACCGTTCGGTCCGAGGACGGCGACACGCGACGAGAGCGACACCTGGAGCGAGATGTCGTACAGCTGCTGGACGGGCGACGTCGGGTACTGGAAGCCGACGTGGCGCATCTTCATCAACGACTTCTCCTTGGTCTTGACACCGTCGAGGAGAGGGGGCTGTGCAAGCGGGGACGAAAAACGGCCAAGTCAGCGAAAAGGGCTCGCGACGACGACGACGGCGCTCGGCAGCGAGCAGTGTACGTACGTTTGGGAACTTGAAATTGTAGTCCTCGAGGGGGTTGAGCTCGTAGTAGGCCTTTGCCTCGGGGACAAACTTGACGAACGCGTCGAGGTTTCCGGGGTAACGCTTGACCTTGAACTTGTTGAGGTGGAGGATGTCGGTGCAGACGTTGTTGAGGAAGCCGCTGTCGTGCGAGACGATGATCGAGGTGCAAGTCTTGAGCGAGCAGAGGTAGTTCTCGAGCCAGGCGACGTTGAGCACGTCCAAGTGGTTGGTCGGCTCGTCGAGGAGGAGGATGTCGGCCTCGAAGAGGATGGCGCGGGCGAGCGCGAGCTTCATCTTCCAACCGCCCGAGAGCGAACCGATGGCGGCCTCCTGGCGCTCGCGGGTGAAGCCGACCGACTCGAGGACGTTGCGGCACTCGTCCTCGTTCTTGAGGATGCGCTTGTCCTTGAGGACGAACGAGATGATCGAGTTCTCCGACTCGTCGCCGTCGACGTCGTGCTCGACGTAGAACGTGCGGACCTCGTCGGGCGAGGGGAAGCCCTCGACCTGACCGTTGTCGATCGCGCGCATGAGGGTCGACTTGCCCGATCCGTTGCGTCCACAGAGACCGTAGCGGTGTCCACGCTTGAGGCGGAGGGTGGCCGTGTTGAGGAGGATCTTGGCGCCGTACGCGAGCGAGAACGTGCAGTTGCACAGGTCCTCGCCCTCCTCCTCGTCGGGGAAGGCCTCGACCTCCTCTCCCTCGTCCTTGGCGAGCTGCTGGAGGACGTCGCGGGCGACCTCGATGGCCGAGTTGGCGCGGATCGAGGCGGGGAGGGCGAGCGCGATGTAGGGCGTCAACGCCGACTCCCACTCGGTCGACTCCCAGTTGCGCGCCGTCGCGAGGTTGCCAATGAGCGTCGCGATGTAGTGGATAAGCGGCGACGAGGCGTCGAGCTTCGAGGCCGGGTCGACCTTCTTGATGGCGGCGACGAGCGGGCCGGCCGTCTGGGCGGCAGTCGAAACCTTGGGCGGGGGGAGGTCGGAGCCGTCACCCGAGCACTTGGCCGTGTCGCGGAGGGTCTTGATCGCCTTGACGACGACGCCGCGAGCCTCGGGGTCGCCGACCGTGTTCTCGACCTTGATCAAGCCGGGGAGGAGCTTGGGGATGAACGGACGGATCGTGTGCTCGTTGTCGACGAGCTTGGTCATGTTGTCGATGATGACGGCGACCTTGCGAACCGTGGCCGTGAGCTTCTCGGTCAAACCGCGCGAGAGGAGCGGGGCCATGAGCGCGAGAGTCGGCGAGTCGACCTCCTGGACGAACGTGGTCGCGGCGAGGAGCTGGACCGTCTTGGGCGTCTCCTCGACCGGGTTGATCAGGCAGTTGCTGCGAGAGGAGCGACGAGCGTCAGCGAGGCGTGACGGGGGAGGGAGCTCGAGCGGGAACGCACATGAGGGCCGGGACAAACTTCTCGATATCCTTGTTGGTGACGAGGTTGCAGAGCGAGGTGAGGCTCGCGCGGGCAGCCTTCTTGACGTCGGCCTTGGTGTCCCAGATGGCGTCGACCATGACGGGGATGATGTCGGGCATGAGACGGGCGCACTGCTCGGGGGCCGAGACGACGAGCTGGTCGATGATCTGGAGCGCACCGGTCTTGACCTGCCACTTGCCGGCGGTCTTGATCTGCTCGAGGAGGATGGGGAGGAAGATGGGCACGCTCCACGAGGTCGAGACCTGGACGATCGACTTGACGGCCTGGACGGCAGCCTCGCGGACGACCTTCTCCTTGTCGGCGAACGTCTCGGCGACGATGGTCTTCATGAGCTTCTCGTAGAAGAAGGGCTCGACGGCGTTGCCGACGCCCTGCTCGGCGAGGATCTGGAGGAGGTCGCACGCGGCCTCGCGGACGCCGGCGTTCTTCTTGTCGCCGAGACCCTTGAGGATGGCGTCGGCGAGTCCGACGTTGACGAACGCGTGCGGGCCCTCGAGCTAGACGAGGCGAAAGAGCGAGTCAGTTTCGTGTTTCCCGCCCGCGCTCGGTCCGGCCAACTGGCCCCAACACGGTCGCGCGAAACGCACCTTGACAAGGTCAACGAGTTCCTTGGCGGCATCGACGCGGGCAGCACGGTCAGCGCCGGCCGAGAGGATGGTGGCGACGTCGACCTTGGCGTCCGAGGTCGAGGGAGCCTTGCCGTGGTCGAGCTTGATGTCGTCGGCAGAGATCTTGGGGGCGGCGGGGGCAGACATGGCGGCTGACGGCATGTGTGTTGGTGGGAAGGACGAGGGGTGTATCGAGGGGGAGCTGCACGCGTGGCAGACGAGGGCGAGTGAACGTGGGACGGGGAGAAGTCGAGGCGAGGGGTGGCGAGTGGCGGCGGGGCGAGATTGAAGGCGGCGAGTCGAGCTGGGTCAGTCTGTGCGCAGTGTAGAGTGTACCGGGGTGTGGCACTCACGCTGTCTAGGCAGAGAGAGAGACGCGGCGTCTAATGCGGAACGAGCAGGCGAATGGCTCGAGGTGTGTGTGCGGAGTCGACGCGGGTGAGCGGGACTGTAGACTTGGGGCTGATGCCTGAGTCTGTGTGTAAGGGTACAAGTGTAGAGTGGCCCAGAGCCGGGGAGGACGAGGGGTGAGGAGGGAGCGAGACGAGGAGAAATGAGCGAATGCAGCGAGTTGAAGAGGCGCACCGAGCTCAGCCGGGCGCAGTAGTGTTCTGGCCTCCGTACTTACCACGACCGGCTACTTCTCTTTACGCCACCCAGCACACTTGCCGCGCTTCCCTCTCTCAGCCACAGCGGCACTCCGCCCGACCCTTTCTCTTCCTCGCGTCCCTCTCGTCCTCGTCGCCACTCTCGCTCGAGGGGTTCTGCGCCGTTGCTCTCTTGCTGGGCTGCTCGACTGCTTGTACTGACGGCACTGTTCACGAAACGCTCGTACTGCTGGTCCTCCGGACTCAGCTCTCCTCGACTTTGCCGCTTCTCCCCCTCGCCGTCTTCGCTCCCGCCGACTTCCGCTCAATCGCTGCGGACATCGAAAACGACGTCCTGACGACGACGACGACGACGACAAGACCGGACTGCATCTCGCACCGACGATGGGACCAAGCGATGGACCGAAGGAGACGGCGTCGCATGTTCTCCGTCGCTTTGTCCCGGCTTCGCCGCTTCTCCTCCTCCAGCCCGCTCGTCTCGCTCGCTAGGAAGACGTCGCTGCAGCGAGAACGATGACGACGACGACGACGACGGAGCTGCTCGTCCCGCGACGCGGAAGAGCTATCGAGTTGTTCTTCCCCTCCCTCGTTGTCTCCGCTCCAGAAGTCGAGCTCTATCCTCACGCCGCTCGCAGCGTCGGGACGACAAGGGACCGTTTTCCGCTCCTCACCTGCTCGGTCTGGGGGCTCAGTATGCGACCCGCTCCTCGTTCGCCGCTCCTCCTCTCCTCACGCTCTTCTCCCCGCTCTGGCGCGTCGCAGCTCGCAGCTCCGATTCACCACCTTCGAGGACACAAAGGACGCGATAACTGATTCGCCGAGTAAGAAAGATAAACTAAACCCAGACAGCTTCTATAACCTCTCCGCCTCTCCTCCTCTCCGCCTAAACCGTCCCATTCACTCGCTCCTTCCCAACCTCCTCCCTCGCCTCACCGATGAGCGCCTGCAACCGCCCAACCAACCCCCTCACGTGCCTCTCCTCCGTGAACCCGCTCCCGACAGCCACGCGGACACACTCTGTCCCACCTACGGTCGTTGGAGTGAGCATCAGCGAATGGTCGTGCGAGGCTAGGGTGGTTAGGGCGCGGGTTAGGGCGTTCGACTCCTCCAGAGAGGGGGAGGAGGGGGGGAGAGGGAGGACGCGGAAGACGACGAGCGAGAAGCGGCGGTTCGTAAACAGTTCCACGCCCTCCACTTCCCTCACCAACTCTCTCTCAAACACCCGCGCCAACTCCACGAGCCTCCTCAAATGCTTCTGGAAGCCCTGCACGCCGTAGCTCCTCAACGTCCACCAAATCTTGAGTGAGCGAAAGCGCCGGCCGAGCGAGAGAGACATGTTGCGGTAGTCGGTTACGAGGCCGGCTGAGGCTTGGGCGGTGCGCAGGAAGGGAGGGGTGATGTCCAGGGCGGTGGTGAGGAGCGTGCGGTCGCGGATCCTGTGGGCGTGAAGAAGAGGGCGAGGCGGTTAGCAGGAGTACCAGACACGGCGGGAGGTGAGGCGTAGATGCGGGCTCTCGACGAGCAAGTAGACGAGTGCGAGGCGGGGGAAGGACGAGCGAGACGTACCAGAGGCAGCTCGCGTCGAACGTGACGAGTCCGCTCCTGCGCGAGCACGCGATGAAAAGCCCGTCAGCTCCTCGCCTCCTCGATCGCAACGATCAGCGTCAACGGAAGCAAGCCACTCCGCTGCCGCATCCGCCCGTGCGAACAAAAGCAGCGAAACGCCCAAGCGAGACACTCACTTGTGCAAGTTGGTACAAAACGAATGGACCTCTCCACCGGCGCAAATCGCCCCTTCTTCCGCGCCTTTCACGGCGCGGGCATTGATCGCATCGAGGAAAGCTTCGTCGCGGCACTCGGGGAGCGAGAGGAAGACGCCGCCCCAGGCTGCGTCGATGTGGAGGAAGAGGGAGGGGTGGGCGGCGGCTGCGGGCGGAGCGGGAGGGGCGTCAGTAGAGAGGAGGAGGGTTGAGGGAGGAAGGAGAGGAGACGCACTGACGGCGGTGATTTCGGCGATGTTGTCGATGGCGCCGGTACTGGTCGAGCCGAGGGTGGCGACTGCGACGACAAGCCAATCAGCGCGGAGTTCTGCAAAGCGGAGGAAGGACTAGCGACGCACTGAGGATGAACGGCTTCTTGCCCTTCTCCTCCAACTCCCTCAGCGCCTTCTCCAACGCCTCGCCCCTCAGCGCCCACTCATCCTCAGCCCTCGTCTCGATCGCGACGAACTCAAAGCCGAGGATCAACGCGGCTTTGGCGCCGAGCGAGTGCGTCTGGGTCGTGCCGAGGATGACCATGTCGGAGAAGGGCGTCGAGGGGTGAAGGCGGAGGAAGCGTTCGCGCGCGGCGATGCAGACGGTGATGACCGACTCGGAGGCGGAGCCCTGTGCGAGTCAGTGCAGTCGATGAGCAACGCTGATCAGCGAAAGAGTCGCAGCCAGCCGAGCAGAATCGTGATCAGCGAGCGCACCTGGATCACACCCGCTCCGACCATCCCCTCGTTACACCAGCTCTGGTCAAGTCCGAGCAGCTTGGCGACCCAATCGGTCACCTTCGACTCGAGCTCGGTGCAGGCAGGCGAGCAGAGCCAGTTGAACCTGGATGTGGGTGGGCGGATCAGGAGCAGCACATGGAGGAGAGGCAAGCGGGACGTACCCTGGGTTGCTGACAGCGCCGACATACATGTCGGCAAGGATGCACTCGAAGGTCGTCTGCGTGCAGTTGAGCAAGACCAGGTCAATCTGGAGCATGAGATGAGGGAGAGGAGTGAACGAACATTGGCTGGAAAGTAGGCGTAAAAGTTCGGGTGCTGCCAGTGCGTGATTCTGCGAAGCCGTATGTGCGCGTCAGTATTGCAGTGAGGAGAGGAATGCGAGAGACAGCGGGACGAACCCGGGCAGGATGATCCGGTCAAAGTCCTTGGCGATGTCGGCCCACGGCTCGCCCTTTTCCGGGACCTCGTCTGCGTTCGCACAGAGCGTCAGCGCTGCTGATTCTCTCGAGAGCGAGCCAAAGAGCGCCCGCACCGCCAATCAGCTTGGCAATGTCGCCCGGTTGGACTTTCGGGACGACGTCGTACGACTCGAGGTTCTCGAAGTAGTCGCAGATGCTGCAGAGGATGAGGATCTGTCAGCCTGAGTAATCTGCGCCCAAACAGCGAGTCCCGATCTTGGAGGAGCCCGCACGAACCGGTCGACCGCGGCATATCCTGCTTTGCGGAATCTGCGGGAAAAGGTGTCGGTTAGAGCCGCGCAGGGAGAGCGAGGGAAGATGTACGTACTGTTCGCGATCCATGCTTCTGCAAAGACGCTGGTCGAGAGGCAGAGGAAGCGGCGGAAAGGAGCGAGGGGTGGGGGGCGGAGAAAACGAGCGAGAGTCGCTGCAAGGATGTACGGGCAGTCTAGATGGACGAGATCGAAAGCTAGAGCCTCTATTCAAGCCAGAGAACGCCGGAACAAGCTGAGCAGTGAAGTGGACGAGGAGAAGAAGCGACGGAGAAAGTCCCGACGAGGTTGGACCACCGCATCTCACGCCGACGCTCTCGGAGTGGCTCAGACTGGCTACAGCTGTATGGCTAGAGTCTCGCGAGCTGACCGACCGCCGCCGCCCGCGTCCTTGTCGTTCCTCGTTTGCTCCCTCCGCACTCGCCGACGGAGCTGGATCATCCTCCTCGCCGGGCTCCTCGCGCTGGTCGTGTACGGCAGGAGTCGGGCTGGGGACGGTATCGAGGGAGCACACGGGGCAAGCGAGCTCGAACGGCGGGGCGTACGGTTTGATCGTGAGAGGGACGAGGACGAGGTGGGGGTCGACTTTCCGCCGCTGCCAGAGCTGCAGGAAAGGGACAGGCTGTGGCCACCGGATCTCAGTGCGTAATACTCCTGCTGCGGCCTTCGAGCGAGCTCGTCTGACGAGGTTGTCGCCTGCTCCTCCTCGCTGACCTTCTCCTCTCGACTCGTCTCGCAGGCAAACCTATCTGCCGGCCCAAGATCTACGTGCGTACTGAGCAGCAAATAAAACGAGCCAATCTCTGACCCCGGCCACCCGCAGGTCTATGACTTGCCTCCCTCGCTCCGACTCCCGCAAAAGACCGTCTCGCAATGCCGCTGGTCGGCCTACAACTCGGAACTACTCCTACACCAACTACTCGCCCAGCCTGCTACATCCGAGCACCCCTCCCCAAACCATCCGCACCTCTCGCTCTACACGTCGAACCCGGACGAGGCCGACTTCTTTTTCGCCCCGCTCTTCCCGGCCTGTTACCTGTTCGACTGCTGGGTCAAGGTCGGCTGGACCAAGACGGAGCGGTGCAACGTCGACGAGGGTTACATCCAGCCCGTCATGCGGCACATCCGCGAAACGATGCCGTACTGGAACCGCTCTGCCGGCGCAGACCACCTCATCCCGCACCCGATGGACTACGTCGATGGCTACTACACCGAGACGTCGCGAGCGGCGATGAACGGTTCGTCGTACCTCGTCACGGTCGGCGACGTCCGTCCCGCGCCGTACGGCTCGCACTTCCGCTTCTACCGCGACATCGTCATCCCTTCCTCGACGCACCTCCTCAACTCGTACTACATCAACCCACTTGATTACGTTGACCAGGATGGACACCCCCTCCGCGAGCCGCGAGGCGCTGCGGATCCTCGCCGACAGACGCAGGCCGTCCCGACTGGCGTCGAGATCTTCCAGCCTTCGCCGCAAGAGGCGGGAGCGTGGCGACGCAGGCCGTCCTTCCGAAACCTTGCGTCGAAGCTCGTTGGCGGCAGGGGCATTGACCGAGACAGGCGAACGACGCTCGCCATCTTTCGCGGCGGAGTCGGCACAGCAAACGACGGCGAGCGCTACGCTCTCGGCATCCGTTCCCTCTTCTTCCCTTCAGACGGCAACGCTTCGACGCCGCCCTTCTCGTCCACGATTCGTGCCGGCTTCTCGTCTCTCCCTGGCTTCGACATCGCCGAGCAGTCTGAGAACGACGACTACGCCCGCCGCCTCGCTCGCTCCAAGTTCGGCCTCGCTCCTCCCGGCTACACGCTCGACACGACGCGCATCTACGAGTACCTCGCATACGGCGTCGTCCCCGTCTTCATCGGCAGCGGACCCACGGCAGGCCAGGTCATGCCGTTCGCCAACGACGTCGACTGGAGCAGCTTCTCGATCTCGATACCCCGCGACAGGGCGCACGAGACGCCTCGCATCCTCGCGCAGGTCAGCGACGACGAGTACGAGCGGCTCAGGCGGAAGGTGTGGGAGGTCGGGCGGATGGTAGTCCTCGAGGGTCGCGAAGGGAACGTCTGGAAGCTCATCGCACGCCAGCTGTGCAGGATGAAGCGGTTGGGCATCGCAGCGGGCCCCGAGATTGCCAACAACTGATCGAGCACCTACTCGTTCTTCGCTCGCACTTGCACTGCCTCGTCCCTCCTCGCCCCGACGGCGAGTCCGCGGACCTGTTCCTCGCCTAACTCGGTTCTCCTCTCGCTCTTCTTTCTTCTCTCCTTCCCCGACTCCCAGCACCTCGGCGGCGGCACCTCATGGCTGCCCAATCCCCCGCCACCCGCCCGCTTGACTGCATTGATGCGATCACAAAGCTTCACTTCACGTTCAAGAACCGTGGGGTGAATCATGCTTTCACGGGTGCGTGGCCTTCGTTCTCTGCCCTGCTCCGCGCGCTCACGTGCTGCTGCTGCTGCGCAGGCCTCGCCGGCACGGTCGTCCGCATGTTCAGCTTTTTACAGGCGATCCAGCGCCATCCGCCTGAGTACAGCGCCGAGCCCGAGTCTTTCCTTACGCGCCAACGGCCCACCGGCAACCTAGTGAGCTTCGCTTGTATCATTGCTTCTGCGCGATATCTGACTCTTCTTTGCCGCAGGTTCTCGCCGTCGAAGTCTCGTCAGGCTCGCTGCAGCAAGCACGCAATGTTCTTCGCGACCTGGATCTCCAGAGGCACCCAAATGGAGAAGTCCGTCGCAGCCAATAGAGCGCGTCCGAAGCCGACTTGCTGATCACAAGCTCATACAGTACTTCAAACTCGTCAGCCACGTCCCCGGCCCGCAGCCTTCGCAGGTTGTCTGCCAGTTCCTCCTCAAGACTCACCATCCCTCCCAGCGCACGCACAACGACCCCTGGAACCCCCAGGAATGCCGGATCGAGCGCGGGCCACAGACCTTCAGGATTCCGACGGAGCCAGTCGTCGAGGCGCAGTGTCGTCGTCTCCGCCCACTCATCACTGTCTCCGAGACGCACCTCAATGAAGGCTATGGCCGTACCCACCTTCCTCCGCCACCGCTGGAGGCCGGCTGCTTCAGCTCAGAGTGCTTCGCCCAGATCATCGCCAACGACTATCTCCATGAGCCTCGTCTCTACGACCTCAATCCTTCCGAGTGGAAGGCAGAAGTCGTGCGCCTGTTCAGCCAAACGGAGTATCACACGATGCGGAACGCCCTGGTCCGACTTGTCGAGCGCACGCTCGTGCAGCAGGGCGACCGTTTCATTACGCTTCTGGCGCTCTCGGCGGCGGTTCAGGAGGAAAGCGAGATCCACAATCGCTGGCTCCTGCCAGCTGAGGACGACGAGCGCATGAACAAGCTCACCGGGGAGAGGAGCGAGATCTTCAAGCTGGTCATTCAATGCTTCCATGTGGGTCTCCTGTACTCTACACCTGCCGGCCGCGCTCATCTCTCCCTCTACAGCTGCCGTACGAGTCGGAGTTCGTCCCCGCCGCCCGCTAGTCCGCCGCCTAACCCGCCCCCCCTCACCGCGAGCGCATCCGCCGCCATTCTTCCGTCTTTCCCTGTCAACGCCTGCAATCCACCTCAGCGCCGAATGCGTGCAGTCTCACGCTAGCGGCGTCAAACTGCGCGAAGGCGATCTTCGCGAGTTCCCGCTTCTCCTCGCAATGTTCCCTCGAGCGGTATCTGTCTTCTGCAGTACGCTCTCGCTCGCTCGTCCCACATTCCCCTCGCCCTCTCGCACGTGGTCGCGCCCTC